GGAGCCGAAGTGTCCCTTGCACGCAGATCCAGGTTACAAAATTGCCAAATTAAATCAGTACGTACCGCCACGAATGTGAAGACGGTCACGGGAGAAACAACACCGGTTCTGGGTACAGCGGTGGTGAATGTAGAGCTCGGTCGACTCCGAATAAAGCATGAAGTTCTGGTGGCGGAAATCGCTGACGATTTCATTCTGGGTATGGACCTAATCAGCCGGTATGGTTTAATGATCGACCCAGAACAGAAAATTCTGCGTTTCGGAGCCGAAGAATTTGTGTTGGGACGTCCGAATGTGGAAGCTGCAACGGTCAGACTAGTGGTCTGTCAGACAACGAAGGTAGATGGTAATGCAGAAGTCATCGTCCCCGCCAGAGTAGAGACGAACCCCGGATACAGTTTGGGGATGGTGCAGCCGGCACATGACTCGACCCACAAGCTCCTGATCGCGAGCACCCTAGTCAAAACCGATCGTGACATACCCTTACGTGTGGCAAACGTGTTTCCCAATGCAGTCAATATTAGAAAAGGGGAGATTATCGGAATGTGTGAGCCAGTCGCCCGAGTATTGAACTGCGAGGAAGAAGACGTTGAGAATGAGTCTAAGGAAGGGGATACCAAAGGCTTGGAGGTCAACTGGGACCAGCTGTCTGCTCGTGAGAGAAAACTGGCCAAAGGACTCATTCGTAGGCACCGTAATGTCTTCGCCTCAGAGGAGGAACCATTCGGGAAGACCAACATCGTAGAACACCGAATAAACACTGGTGACACGCAACCGATCCGTCAGGCTCCTCGAAGACTACCCCTAGCCAAACAAGAAGAAGCTACAAGACTCGTGGACAACATGTTGAGAGATGGGGTAATTGAAGAATCCAACAGCGCGTGGTCATCTCCAGTAGTCTTGGTTACCAAGAAGGACGGGACTACCCGATTTTGCGTCGATTACAGGAAACTGAACGACGTCACGAAGAAAGACAGTTACCCCCTTCCTCGAATAGACGATACCTTGACGACCTTATCCGGCTCGGCGTGGTTTTCGACCTTGGACTTGAAGAGTGGCTACTGGCAAGTAGGCTTGCACCCGGACGACAAAGAAAAGACTGCGTTCTCCACCGGAAGTGGCCTCTATCACTTCACCGTTATGCCCTTCGGATTATGTAATGCGCCAGCAACATTCGAGCGGCTGATGGAGATGGTGCTGAAAGGATTGACATGGAAGACCTGTCTGGTATACCTCGACGACGTCATGATTATGGGCAAAACGTTTGATGACCATCTGAAGAATCTCGAGGAGGTGCTAGAACGAATGGAAAACGCTCGTTTGAAACTAAATTCCAAGAAATGCTCACTCTTCCAGAAACGAGTCGAGTTCCTGGGCCATATCGTGTCGGAGAAAGGAATAGAAACCAACCCGACGAAAGTTCTTGCTATCCGGGATTGGCCCATACCAAGAGACAAGCATGAACTACGAAGCTTCTTGGGACTCTGCACATATTACCGACGATTTGTAGAAGGGTATGCCGACATCGCAGCACCGTTACACCAACTGACGGAGCAGAAGGCGACTTTCAAGTGGAGCAGTACATGTGAGATGGCCTTTAAGAGACTGAAGACGGCTTTGTGCACCAGCCCCATTTTGGCTTACCCCAGGGACAAAGGAATGTTCGTCCTCGATACCGATGCGAGTAACTCGGGAGTTGGGGCCGTATTGTCGCAGATACAAGATGGGGAGGAAAGGGTTATCGAATATTTTAGCAAATTACATTCCAAACCAGAGAGAAATTACTGTGCCACAAGGAAGGAACTACTAGCCATTGTCAAAGCCGTCAACCACTTCCACAAGTATCTATACGGACAGGAGTTTCTGATCAGGACCGACCACGCTGCCCTCTCGTGGCTACTGCAGATAAAGAATCCCGAGGGCCAAGTAGCGCGTTGGCTGGAACGACTACAGCAGTACCACTTTAGGATCAAACACCGAGCGGGTCGACTTCACAACAACGCTGACGCTTTGTCAAGGCGTCCGTGTGGAGAGTGCAAGCACTGCGACAGGATCGACGCGGAAGAAGGGAACCTGCCCGTTCGTCGGACGATTTTTGAGCAAGATGAAGAATGGACAACGGCGCGGTTAAAGCGTGAGCAAGAAGCAGACGACATAATCGGACCAATACTAAAGTGGAAGGAGGAAGGAGTCGAACGACCCGGCTGGGCAGAATTGTCCGACCAATCCCCCAGTTTGAAGGCATTATGGGCCCAATGGGATTCCTTGGTCATGGAAAATGGGCTCTTGAAGCGAAAGTGGGAGAGTCCTGATGGGCGTACCTCTAAGACGATGCTGGTCCTCCCCAAGGTAAAGGTTTTCAAGGTCTTAGAGGAAGTTCATGCCGGAACATCTGGAGCCCACTTCGGAGTGAACAAAACTTTGTCGAAAATCCGGGAGAGGTTTTATTGGGTAGGTCATCGTGACGATGTCGAAAGTTGGTGTCGCAAGTGTACGACGTGTGCGGCCAGCCAAGGTCCTCATACCAGGGCGAGGGGAAAGATGAAGAAATATAATGTTGGGGCACCTTTCGAAAGAATCGCCATCGATGTGGCCGGTCCGTTCCCTGTAACAAACGACGGCAACAAGTTTATCCTGGTGGCTAGCGACTACTTCAGCAAGTGGCCAGATGCCTATGCCATTCCAAATCAGGAAGCCGTCACGGTCGCGAAAGTACTGGTTGACAATTGGATCAGTAGGTTTGGCGTCCCCTTGGAACTTCACTCAGACCAGGGACGCAATTTCGAATCCAACGTCTTCCAAAGAGTGATGCAGCTACTGGGAATACGTAAGACAAGGACAACGCCACTACACCCACAGTCCGACGGCATGGTGGAAAGGTTCAATCGGACTATGGAGCAACACCTTTCGAAAGTGGTAGAAGAGCACCAAAGGGATTGGGACCAGCACCTTCCACTATTCCTGCTGGCCTACCGCGCAGCTATCCACGACACCACGGGCCAAACACCTGCTCACGTTGTATTTGGGAAGGAACTGCGGCTGCCCTGTGACCTAGTCTTTGGATTGCCATCCGAAGAACCAATGGAAGTACGTGACTACGTGGACGAACTGAAAGAGAAGTTGGTCAACGTGCATGAACTAGTGAGGGGCCGGATCAAGATTGCCAGTGACCGAATGAAGACCCGTTATGATGTGAAGGCCAACTGTGGCGGATTCCAGGAAGATGACTTAGTGTGGCTGTATAACCCCCGACGGAAGAAGGGACGTTGCCCAAAACTGGCTCCTGACTGGGAAGGTCCATACACTATCGTCACTAGAATAAATGACGTAGTTTATCGGATCCAACGTGGACCAAAGACGAAGATGAAGATCGTTCATCTCGATCGACTAAAACGGTACGAAGGAAACAATGAAGACGTTTCCGATCGGGACGATCGGATTTGAAGAGGGGGGCAGTGTTACGAAATACACCCTTACGCCGCCCCAGTACGACGCCTATGGCGGTCGAGAGCCTTCTGGACGTACGCACGGCGCTGATGGGTGAATCATCGCTGTTGACGGCCGAGAGGCGGGCGCATAAAGACAGGTCTGGAGCGTCTCGAAGCGGCGTCCAGGGGAGTCTCGAAGCGGAGTCGCGATGGATGTTCGTGAAGGATCTCGATCAGAGACTATGGGTTTAAATAGAGGCGACCGTAGGTAATGGATATTCATCCAGTGAAGACAGTCGAGAGCGCCGGAATAATTTCTGTACATATTCGTCGCAATAGATAGTGTTGTAATTCGACCTGAAGAAATAAATTTTTTTTTGAGTTTTACCAACACCCGATTTATTATTCGTCCGTCAATCGTAACAGTATTTAGGAACGTCCTTTTTATTAAAGATTAAAAGATTTGCGTCCGCATGTAATTAGGTATCTACACTAAGAAACTAAACAACTTGGATGACCTCAAGAACCAAATTCGAATATAAATGGCCAATCAATATGACTAACCCCAGAGAGTCCAGATATCATTTAACGGAGAATACAAAGTGTTGTATATATGTACATACTTACTGGTGCCAAGTGGTTGGTGGATGGCAATTTGATCATTTCCTGCAGTTTTGTTGCTTCGGTTTAAATGATATTACTAAATCGAATTTTTGTTTTTCACACTTTTAAGGATTTTTCCCGCACAAATGCAATCAACTTCTTTTCTACGACCATTTAACTAATAAAAAGATTTATCAGAATCCGGAAGAAAAAGTAAGGGTTGTCGATTAAAACAATCGTTGATGATGTCATTGTGCCAAAACGGCTGCTTGAAAAAAAATTACGTCAAAAAGTGTTATTTTAAAAAATTAAAATGGCCTTTCGAGGACTTTTAATGAAAGAGTCAAATAACGAACTTTTTGGAGAACTTCATCAACACCTTGAATATACCACATTACTGTGAACTAAGATGTCTCTATCGTATCGTCTATTACGACAATCACCAGACCTTAACAAAACGCCATTGAATTACTCGTATGTTATACAAATTGATTTTTTTTTTATTGCAAATAACAAGAAACCTGCTTCTCTAACAAGCGTAAAAACATCGTTTTATATGATATATTCATAGCACTTACTTAATAAATAATTGACTTTATAATTTACGACATTAATTATGGTCAACAATTCAGAAGTCTGCTATAGACAGATATCTATGAATTATTGTGGTTATGGCTAAAATCTTTAACATTACATTAGAACATATCCATATAAATTATTTGACGGTATCTTCTGTAACAGAATCATTATTCAGCCAAGGTACAAAATTTAGCAATATCGTCATGGATACAAAGACCATGCATATTGTGTACTGATGGTACCGACTTTTAGAAGTTCTAGAAAAACAAAATGCAGATAAGGTCTGGTACATTCGTCAAAGAATATGTATTCAAATAATAATGTATTTGTGGTTATTCATCTTATTCTTGTCATAAAATGCTTTATGATTATTCTTGTTCTGTTATTACTTATTAATTTTATTAATAAATTCCTCACTTATATACAGTTGAAATATGACACGATGTGTTTCATAATTCACACCGCCTAACATTAAATCTAATGCAGTATTTTCCGTTTCTATCAGTCAGGTGGTGAAAGTTGAAAACTAGTCCACAGTTAATTTCTTGAATGTTCCGTCAGGCCCAAATTCATCATTTGTTTTCATATCCTCTGGACGCAGATGCTCCAAAGCAATATTGTTGTAGTTTTCGATAAAAAATTTTTTATGATTTTTAAAAGCTTCATCCCATTGTCCTAAAATGATGTTTTAAGCTGAATTATATCAACTATTTAAGGGTATCAAGATACTTAATAGATCTGGTATGTTACTGCAACTACCGCCATATTCGGATGGTAAACATTCTTTGGGAATTAAATTGTACAGAGCATTTATGTCTGAATAAATTTTCAGCTGAAATGTAAACATACGAAACATTATTACCAATATACAAAAAAATTAAATACATACTCTTTCCTGAAGTTTTCCCCACAACATTTGCCTCAACAGTGCTTGCAGTTTACCAGCGAATGCTGGAAATAAATTAATACAATCGACTCCGCTTATCCGACACGAATATGTTTTCTGAAATTTAAAAATATAGTTACACAAATATATAAATGAACTTACCTGAATAAATTCGAAATGTTTAGCTATTGGAATTGGATTAAACTTCAGGAGATGTTTAAAAGAAAACCCTTCAAAATCAAACATATATCGTATTCCTATGCTATCATCAAATTGTAAACTTAGTTCTGTCATAGCTAAGTTAAAATGAATATATTCTTCTACGTCATATATATCGGGATTTGTGTCCTTTAACTTGAGGAGAATGACACGTTCAAGTTTAGGTGTTAATTTAGGCAATGGCAAGCACAAACTAAAATAATAAAACAAATATTTTTGTTGTAACAATATTGTAAAAAAAAACTTGAAATATGATAAAAGGTAAGTTGTTTTCCACTGGATTCAATTTTTTTCATTTGTGAAATAACTAGACTAGAATTTTAGATACTGAAAACTGTATAACCAAATAAAACTTTTTTGTAATTTGCATTACAAATCATTTTTACAAAAGGTTATACCTACAGTTTACACCATATATATTACTTTATAACTTTTTTTTACCCGAAGTGTTTAGAAGGAACAATATTTTCAAAACCACGAATCATATCTTGGTTCCGGCCTCGAAGGCTGAAATAATTATCTAACTTTTCTTTAGTGCGTTCTATACGAAATTTATTTTTTAATAGAACCCTTGCAATAAAATCGTCTAAAAACATGAGCAATATAAAAATCGAATATCAGTTTACTTTAGAGTTAAACCAGTAATAGTTGTTGGTAGATATGGTAATTTTTCTTTCCATTCTTTGATTATTTCCACGTTAACTTTAATTTGAGTTTCAGTGATGTTATACTGTTTCAGAATTTCTTTTCTTTCTTCTGATGTCAGTGGCAACAAGTTCATTTTACAAAAATAAGATTGTCAAGCTGACTATTTAAGAGATACGTTACACGTGCCCACGAATGAATGGATACAGAGAAAACTAAGCCTAAAAATCCGTACGCTAGTATTTATTCTGACTAATATTTGTCCCACTCTCAACGTTTCTCCCCACACAAAGTGGAACCAGACAGCGACAGGAACAGCATGTTCATTGAACATCATTTTATATTCTTAAGTGATTCGAAACACTGCAAAAAATGTAGAAACGAAACGTTGTTCACCGTTCTTACTAATTTTGAGCAATTTTCACAAGCATTGTGGTCACTTTCAAAAATGTCGTGTTAATTCAAACATCCCACCAAAATGTGACATGTACACAAAATTGTAAACTCCACGAAAACGTCAAAATTTGCCATTGAACTGTGTTCGTTAAAAAATGGAACTCTACGTTGTGTTTTTTTGTTTGGCGGAATGCTCTGACATGCTAAGTGATGATTGATGAACTCCAAAGTTGGAAAGGTGCCCTTGAATAAAATGCAAAATGTGCAAAAGCTGTGAATCTAGTTGCAAAAACCTTCTCTAGCTCATAGGTTCCGTTTAAGGAGTCGATATTTCGGATCAAGGCGATTAGATCGTTACGTTCTGATGCAATGCGTGATTTAATTACGAATTGCATAAAATATTCATCTTCGCTGCGCCAAAGCTGTTACATAATTTACCGCGTCATCCACGGCCTCGCAGACTGCTAAGCCGGACGAACTGCTTATTCCAGGAAGAAGTATTGTACCCCAGGCCAGAACGGAATAAAAACAGGTTTTACGAGGCACCTTGCGTTAAAATTTGTTTAAACATGTCATTTGAGAGAAGACATACGTATTAAGTTTCAAAGATAACTTGGTGACAAATTATGTTGATCGCCCGATTTAAAATATCGCCAATGGAAATGCATATCAATGCAGTTCAATTTAAAATATTCTTCAACGTCATAAATGTCGGAATTTGTATTCGCTAATTTTAATATTATAACGACACAGTTTTCTGATTTTTCTTTGGTGTGTTCTATATGAAACTCATTTTTTGTCTTATAGCTTCTTTCTCATCGTCAGCTACAGCTAAAATTTCGCATTACTATAACAGGAAAATTCGAGAAGCTATAGAGAACCAATAAGATAAACAGAGGTACTGGTTTCCCTCTCTCCTCTATTTGGAAAACGGTCATCCCACCAGACCGGTTTCCTTAAATTTCAGAGGGTTCAAACCTTAGATCATATAATAAATAGATACCAATACTCAAATTGAAAGCTGTGACTAGACATGAAGCTATCTGTTGTCGTTTTCTACGTCAACGGGAGTATTATAATGCTATCCTTGTGTGATCACCACATCTTCATCTTTGTTATATGCATTTCATCTGTATATCTCTATTTCACATCCATCCTGGTACCGCACCAGTGCAACAAATCGCTTTTGACAGATGTTTCTTCTAACCTCTCTTTCGAGTTCTTGTACGAAAAACAATTTTAGAATTTAGAACAAAGATTGTATTTTAAGTGATGTAATCATAAAGGATCACAATTGCTGCCCAATAATTTACTATTCCGTTCGTTATCTACTGTGAATTATTTATAAAATCAAGCTGTCAACATCTTTCGTACGAAATTAGTTGAGACATACTTCCCAAAATTTAGGCGCGCAAAATTCAAATAGTGATCAGGCAAGGATAGCTTGATTGTAATCCCTCTATGCAGAAGAGAGATGTGTGACAGGAGGATGTCGTCACAGGCTCTGCCAGGGAAAGAACACGGCATGGTGGTATCTATTTATTATATGATCTAAGGTTCAAACCCGAAAAACGTCTTTATATCAATGACTCTGACCGTAAAAACCTTCCAAAAATGCTGTAAAGTTAAAAAATAAAGGCGGATTCATAAACCACAGGTATATAAATATATTATTTTATAAAACTTACATTTTTAGATGGCGTCACAACAAACTGTGAATGGTCTACACGGCATTCCTTAAATACTTGTAGAATTTCACAGCAATCAATGCAGCAGTTTCGGAGATTAGGTATGTGTGTAATAAAATCTCTAACAGATACCTGGGATCAGACACCAGACGACAGGCAGACGAAAATTGCGGATGTACTTTTTCACACTTTGGATAAATCATTTCTCCCCTTGAATTTTCTGTACGGATTATCACAGTATTCTATAAAACTTTGTACAGATTTCAAAGGGAGACTTTGAATTGCTGTTTAATTGTATCTAATTTTGATTAAAAAGAAAAAGTTAAAACGGCTTTTTTAATTTGTATTTAATATGTACAACGGCGAAACCTAAAGCATTGTTTGTGAAAAATGAAACGTTGTTATTATTAATAATATTATTTTTGTTGTTATTTTAAAACAGATAGAGGCACTTAGAAGTTTTAATTGTGTTTCTTTCATTCACGATTGGATTCGAAATGTGAAAAACCAAATTTACGACATCTAAAATTTAGCATATTTGTTTTTATGGAATTCCAATGACGCATCTACAACTTTTTTATTTATTGCTACTTTTAACGGCAAGTTATAAAGGTCAACAATTAATTTGAATGAACAGGTTACTAAAACATTCCTACGTAAGTATTTCAAGAAATAAACTTTACTTATATATATTATATACCAAGAGACTAAAGTGCACTTTAGTCTTATGGTGTATATACTATTTTTTGCACTCTCGGAACTATAGATACTAAATTTTAAATTGGAAGAAAATATTCGAAATTACTTATCATCCATTGCGATAGTAAGCCTTTTCGGGTAACCAAGGCTATAAGTGTAAATAAGACGACCCTTTTTGATTTTTTCGGTGTGTTTATATTACCACTTTAAGTTAAAAAGTATTTTGCTAGTCATGGAAATGCTTTTTATCCCTAGGGTCAAAAAGAGTCACTTTAGTCCCGGGAGGGAAAAATATATTTTAAAATGGAAAATCTAGAAAAATATATTATAAGAAATGTAAATAATAATATTTTTCAAGAGAGTAACTAGTTAGTCAATAAAGTAGCTAGTTAATAGGGTAATAGAATACACCGACATAGTTAGTTTTAATTTGTAAATGTGTAGTTTAAGTCCAAATATGTATTATCTAAATTATAAGTGTTGTAAGAAATGATAGAAATAAAATATTAATGTGTAAAAAAAGTAATTTTTCTTGCATAATTTGGGTATTAGCATTACTGAGGAGACACACAATACAACAATTTATTATGTTTTTCACAATCGCACATCCACAGAAATGTATCACGTGTTATGTCTATTAAAATATCTATGAAAGTCTCTCGTTTTACCATGAACACAGAGGACGATTTTTTACTAAATATTCAACTGAATTAATTATTTTGATTTCAAATCAAACAATTTCACTGTTGCAGAATGAAAATGAACTTCCGTTGTTGAATTACTGCTACCGGTCACTGTTCAAACGCGACTCGATTACGACCAAATGCAGCGACTAGAGGCGCGGTTTCCCTGGTAACGGTGCAAACAAAACCTCTAAATGAGCCATGATTTGGTCTCAGTCTCCGTTTACAACATCTTTAGACGTAAGTTTTGGTACATTTGATATAAATGGAGTGAGATAAAAACTTAGTTTTGTTAGTTATGACACAAACTTCCGGATAATTTTTTAAATATTGAAAATTACTATTTTGCAATGTCAAGCATGTTTAGGGAACGTGTAATTTTGGAGGAGCACGTGCCCTTGTGCAAAATTTGAGGATGTATGAATCCAACAGATTTAAATAATAATAAGGCTTTATTCCTAACAGGTTTACACCCAATAACAAGGAAAACTAAAATTTAGGCTCAAGTCAACCGCAGACAGTAAATAAATAACATGCAGTTCCAAAGTCAGTAAAGTTAAGTGTAACTATAAGGTATCAAAATAATAATAAAAGCTTCCACAAAACTACAAACTATAAATTTTACTACTCACTAGTACAAAGAAAGGACTTGATTCCAACCGATATGGAATCGTAATGCAATGAGTAGATATTTCATTAAACTTATTAGACATGTCAGCTACTGGAGATTTATATAGTACGTTTGTGGACTATAGAAAGATTGAGATTGGCGTGAATTAATACGAGGTACGACCAAGTTAAATTTGTCCAGAAGACTAGGACAATCTACATATTTTGTTATATATTATAAATTAAAAACAAATTTAAGGACAATAATATTGCGCCTATCGTGGAGATCTAGAAATGCAAACCTATTCAGTAGTGCAGCATGATCACTATTCAATATTATTAACATGCACATCATAGAAGGGATACCAAATTATAGCACCATATTCCAACCTAGTTCTAATAAGCCCAAAATATAAATTACCTAAATTTCTTATATTTGGGAACTCGTTACATTTTCTGTAAACAAAAGCATACATCCTAAAAGATTTTTCTATTACATCATCTATATGTTTCACAAAACTGAGTTTAAAACCAAACGTAGGGAGAGGAGGTATGAAAGGGACATTTTTCATAATTACTTGAAAATTTCGAAAATTATATATTAAATTCTTTTCAAATTTAGACAATGAGTACCTCCAAAAGTTTCCCTCATTTTCTACCTGAACTAGTTTCATCAGTTACGTGTTATCAGGGTTTATGAATGGTTTTTCTTACTAACGAATTTGTCCCTTTCAAAGAATTTAGATGTGATGATAGGGACATGTACAGTATTGTAAGGGACATGACCACAGCATCCGTAGAGGAAACCAGCCTATGATGGCATGGTGCCTGATTTTTTGGACCATTTGAATTTCGCGGTCAAATCACCTGTTCAAGATGCTGTCCTTATATTCATGTACCAACATGAATGTCTACAAAGCAGTGTGAGTGTAGGGTTGTTTCTTGAAAGGCAGAAAAATAAATGAAATACTTATTGTTGACTCTCGAAGTAAGTTTTACACATTAATCAAGTTGAAATCATATTCTTAATATGCTTAACTCAGGGGCACCAATTTAATTCATGTTTTCTATACATATCTGACACATGTAATACAGGTCCAGTTTAGGGTCATGTTGTAAATGAAAA